ACTTGTGTTAAGAAAGAAAGGTAGACCTCGGAAGACTTGGGCTTATTGTATTAAAATGATCTTAATTTATTTGGATTAAATGAAAATATGACACTAAATAGGACACAATGGAGAAAAAAGGCTCATGTAGTCGATCCCACTTAGCGGAATGAGAAGATGAGCAAATGTGTATAAGAGACGAAAACAACAATCGGAAATGTACAAATTTTTACTTGTTAATTAAATTGTTTTCATTAGTGACTCTTTCATGAATATTTTAATATTAAATTATTACCGATAGAAATAGAATAGCAGATAATTGATTTCCACAATCCGACCGGCCGTTGCCGTATTGGCTAATTCCAAACCCCGACCCGGGTCGTGACATCGTGAGTGGCTCGAGTGTGTTTGATGTTACTTGCGGTCGAAGGAAGAAAAGAAAGGAGAGCAAGTCTAGCGTAAGTTCTATGTGGGTTCGAACAAAAGAGGTAGATATCTGATAGAGGTGGCTGTAGCGGGTAGGAGTCTAAATCGAGTGTATGTAAAGAAAAGGTTAAGAGTTTTATTTTTTATAGATTAATTAATTAATTGAAAATATATTAAGTGTTAACATTAACCTTTATTAAATAAAAAGAAGATAAGAGGTGATATTTGGTTTGAATCGAGGAGAGTAAGCTTTGTGCATTCGATGAAAAAGACGAGTGATATCTCGAACAAGCATTTTTGTGGTTTAGGCAAATCAAAGCCTTGGGTAGAACAGAAGAAAATTCAAGCTCATGTTAAGGTAAGTTTTAAGTAGTTTTTATTGGGATAATTACACACAAATCACCTTAAACATTGATATTTACAAATTAACCACCCAGATATTTTTCTTAAACTATTGAACCGATGTACTTACACGTGCCATGTGCCACGATCAAACTATTGAGAATTTGATAAAAGTGAAAATTATGAGTTAGGGTTTTACCATGAATTTTGATATTTTAGTTAGAATTTGTAAATTGGATGAAAGGGGGGTGGTTGATTTGTAAATAACAAGTTTCGAGTGATCTCTATGTAATTGCCCTTTTTTATATATATGGAATATCATAATATAGTTAATTAGAAATTGATTTGAAAAGTAAAATGATTGAAACTTTAATGCTTTGATAATATCATTAAATTTTAGTAAAATGAATGCATATGTTTCTTGCTAGCATCAATTTAGAAGAGTCGATGTCAAAGAAAAATTGAAGAATAAATCTGTTGAAATCGAAGTGAGTACTTGTACTTTCAAATTATAGCTGCATTTGGTTTCTTCTAAATTTGATACGTTCTGTTAATTATTTAGATAAATTTTATACTATATGATTAAAATCAAAGTGATTTATCTACTTTTAAAGTTCATTTGATCATATCGATTTGTATGTTACTAATATCTGTATATGTCCATCTATTACATAATTTGTCTTATATTATGCATTGGATGATATAAAAATAAGAAAGAGATTGATTATTCTGATTGGTTGCATGTGTATACTTGGCAATGATGGAATCCACCCTTTTATAATTCTAGTGAAGGAAAGTTAAGGTAGTCGTATATGTGATTGAAGAAGGATATTGATTTTGATATGTCTTAATTGATAAAATTTAAGACAGTGACAGTTGTACATATATAAAATGATATAGACATGTTACTGATATAGCAAAACATACTGAATGTTATCAATTATTGTGAACTATCGTATCTGAAAAATTAAATTGTCTAATATATTTATATTAATGTATAGTATTTCTGACTATTATGCATATCATTCCTCTTTCGTTACGTTACTGTAGTTTAGAAATAGATGTACTCACTGGTTTTTGTAGCTCATTATTGTTTTAAATTAATATTTCAAGGTTAATCATTTTATTAAAAGTTGAATAATAAATCAAATGTTTATAGAAGATGCAAATAACCAGAAATAAGATAAATTTAATTGTATTACTTTATTTCTTTATTTAGTGGATCTTTCATTTCATTTTAAATATAAATGGTTAGTTATAAAAAATAAAAATAGAAACACATGATTATCACAATCCGATCGTTTGTTTGGCTAGGCTGTGACATAATTAATTATCCAAATAATTGAAAAATCCCGTCTTGATTAATTACAAGCCTTGGCTAGACTGTGACATAATTAATTATCCAAATAATTGAAAAATTTATTAACGATTAAAATATAAATAAGTTTAAAAGTTTATATTCCTTTAAACTTGGTCATGCCTTTTATAAATAGCTTTTCTTCTATCTCTTGCTTTCTATCATTTGACTTTTTCATGAAAAATGTTAATTTTCAATGTTTGTGATCAACAACTCACTGAATACTCGATACATCCAAAATTTTAATAACATGAAAATAAAAACAACATACAAGCTTATCAAATATGGTACATCAGTATAATAATTTATGTATAAGAATATGACATTCAAGAGGTTTTTAAAATGTTCTATTATATTGTACAATGCTTTATCCTTTTAGCATTATTTTATGTGAATATCTGTCACTGAAGTGCCGTCTAAAATATATATTTGAAATACTTCAATGTGCCTTTTTTTGTTTACGTGCAATGATATATTAGCATCTCCAGTTTTTATCATAAGGGGCAAACTTTATCAGTTAGTATGCACATACAATCATTTTACATAATTCATATCACTTAATATATATTATGAATAATGCATACTTTATAGAAGTTAACGACGGCAAAAATTTTATGATATTTATATTGATATGACCAATGCTTATAAAAGAACAGATGAGTTAGGGTAAAATCTTATAATTTAAACAATTTTCATTAATTTTACATGTAATTGATTTAAAAATTTAAAAGACTTACTATAATTTAGAAGTCAGAGTACACACTTCAATGCTGCCCAATGATTTGATTTTCAGCCTTTTTACTTCTTAGACCTTGACTAATATATAAGATATGATAATTGTTTTGATTCCTCTATAATTTGCATTAACATTCTCTTATTTAATTATATGTATTATTATTTTTTTAAATCACCTAATCTATTTCTTAACATAGTATTGTTATTAACTTCCGACATTTGATATTGTACTTTTAAAATTTTATATGATCCATTATTTTTTAACCTATTCATAAACTTAATCCTAATTACTATTTTATTTATATGTATAAATTAACATTAGCTTTTATTTGTTCAAGTTAATTCCTAACATATTTTATTCATTTAATATAATCTTAATTATATTATTATTAATTTTTTATATTTTTATTTCTTGCTTTTGATTTAATAAAATTAAAAATCATTTAAACAAAAATGAAAAATAATTACTGTGGCTGCTATCTTAAAACTAATCTTGTTAGCACATTTCATACTTGAAAGTAAATATCCAGTTGGAATGCTACAAAATAAAAAAAGACACCTCACAAAACAGTGAGTAACACGATAATCAAAATTAAAAATATAATTATTAAAATAACAATTAATATTATGATAATATTATTTTTAAAATACAGTTGGTTTATATCAGGAGATAATCTGTCCTCCAACAAATCCCTTCACCCTAACCCATATTTTTTATTTTTATCAAATTCACGCCTAATGATTGTGGCACACGTAAATGCATCGAATTCATAGTTCAAAATATTACATATTGGAATTGATCTGTAAATAACAATGTTTCTTATGCTTTGTATGTAATTATTCCCAAAAAAGAAATAGAAGGGAGAGTCCAACTCAAATGTATGAAATTGATTTGTAAACACACACAACTATATGTAATTATCCCAACAAAAATTCTTCCGAGCGAAGGTCAAGAAATCGCAAGAAGGCTGCACGAGCCACAACAAAAAAAAAAAAAATAAACCGCAAAAAATGGATCGCAAGGAGCAATACACAAATGACAAATCTTCAAACTAGAAGCTAATTTCAATGCCAATAGTGTAGGGTAGAGATTACCAATGGGAGATTGTCACTGGAACCGAGTATTCAGAGAGAAGGTAGGAAGGCAAGAAAAGAGAAATGCCATTGGAAACCGCCGAACACAGTTGGGGGGGAGAGGAAGAGGGGCTAGGGATGAATCAAGCTCGTGGTCAAAGTGCAATAGGGAGGAGAGGAGGAAAGGTTAGGGTGGAGGATTAAACAGCGAAGATATCATGTGAACGAAATGCGGTGTGGGACAACCGAGGTATTATCACACCTACGAGACGCGGGCCGCGGGGTTGAACTTGCAGCCCGCGGTTTACTCAAATTAGTCAAGAAACCACCGCAACTTTTTTTTCAAACGCCAGCTTCTGCGTTTTCCTGCCTCGCCGCAGCTAAAATGCTGCCCCAAACGTAGCCTATGTTCATATTTAATAAATCCAATGATGGGGTGGATTTAATAAATCCATATTTACTAAATCCTACTAACCCTAAGCTCATCCATCTCCTTCTTGCCCGGTACATTGCTTGCTCGAGCAGTAAGGAATGCTCTTGCACATGGACTCACTCATCGTCAGCACAAGCTGCTCCTACAAATGTTTATTGTCCTTCTATTCTGCCACTTAGCTTGGGCAGTTGTGCGCTCTTTGGTTTTCACATCATTGTTGATGGCTGCTTGCAAGTGATACGAGCCCCTCCTTCGCGTGCCTTGCTGCCATCTCTTTTTTTTCCCTCACTGATTCCCTATCTTACTTTTTTTTCTAATTCTCTGTTGGCGCAGTCTGGCTCCCATTTGACTCCCTCTCTCCCTTCTTATTTTTTTTATATATGCGTTATACCACTTTAATTAATTTCTGTCTCACAGCTTCCAAGTATTGCTGTTCTGGTTTTTTTTATCCGCTACCTTTCAATAGGGATGTGGGAAGATGCATTATTTGTTCTCCTCTTTTTGCAACTTTTTTAATTAATCTACCATCACAATCCGGTTGTGTTGCATCTAGTTGTAATATATTCTTGGTCAGTATCCTAATAACTTGCTCAAATGCAATTTCGGGTATTTCATGCAGTAATATGTATATTAATTGCTCATTGTTTTTTACAGGGTGACACTCTTGATTATCTGGGATTTCATATTGCTGGTAGTCAAGGAGTAATCGTCATAGCTATCTGTCAAGCTCTTTTAATGGTAAGATCACATCTTTTTTCTGTATTGAAGTTCTGATGTAGTCAGTTGGGGGCATAAATTTTAATTTAGACCATTGTCAAACTTTTGTGGATTTAGGTACTAATTTTCATGTACTTTCATTATTTTTCAAATCGTCATCAATATTTTTCATAACATGACAAATAAATAATTGATTGAAGCAATAAAAAAGAGGAAATAAATACTTTATTTTTTTGTGCTTTGAAATGAATAGCACAAAATTTACATGGAATACAAGACTCAATTTTTTGCAATCAAAGATACGAATCCTGTATTTATTCTTAATATGAATTGTGTAATGGCTAATAGAAGAATCCCAATTTTAATTGGAATTGGAATATCTTAAACTGGAAATTTTGGTGTAGCCACAGCAACAGTCATATGGTTTTCCGTCGTGGAAGGGAGCAAAAATAGGTTGAAAGTTTTCTGGACAACTGTGGAGTGCTTACGGGTGGTTGGACATATGCGTGTTGCATTTGTTGTTCAAATCTCCAGCTAGGAGAGCATTGCCTTGCCACCACATGCGAGAAGAATCCCAGGACTGTGGGCCATTTTCTGGAATGGATCCTGGAAATATGGGCACCATTCTGCTATCTTTGTTTCCTTAATAATTGGGGTGATGATTCCTAGAAATTTGCTACATGATTTGCACACACGTTCTTTTAATTTGACGAAGGGCCTTAGGAAGAATATCAAAAGTTTGGGATTTTGTTGGATTATAGATTGTCTTGATAATTTGTTGTTTTATTTTTTTTTTTTGTTACAAAGTGTTCAAATTTTTTCTTTCAACACTGTCATTTTCGGTTCCCAAGTCCCGGATGTGAAAAGTGGAGGGTTGCATTAGATAGCTGACAACCAACATAAAATTTGTCAAAAAAGCATGTTATGAATCTCTTAAATCATTGTGTAAATGCTAGGGCGTATCCTGGAAGTGGCGTTGTATGGCTTGTATACATTGAAAAGTGTGCAAGGGCCGCTACACTGACACTCGAGTGTAGTGTCAAATAAGCAATAGTTCCCACATTATGGACGAATGCTGGTAAAGAAGTTAGTCTATGAAATTAATATTAGGATATGATTGAGTATATGTATTCTCATAAATAAATTAATAGAATTAGTTGATATTATGGTCCATAGAAAGATAAATATCTTATGTATTCAAGAAACTAAATGGGTTGGAAAAAAGACTAAGGGGATTAGTAGTTTAGGTTTTAAACTTTGGTATTCCGGTAGGAGTTACATTCAGTTACATAGAGTTTACATAAAATAAATTAATGAACAGTTCAACAGTGAATTAAAAAAGGAGAACCCAACAAAAAAAAAAAAAAACACAATTAACCATAAGCATAAGCATGAAGAGACATTCTTTCACTATGATTATAATAATCCTATACAAATTCCTCAATCACTGAATCACTAAGGAATTATAGAAAATTATATATGCTTTATATAAGGCAGAAATAGTTGACCTGGTTGCATTCACAACAAAGAAGAGTAAACAATGATAAATGTCATCCAAAGGTCACCAAGTCAACAACAAAACCATCATTGTTCACAATAAAAAAATTTTGACCTAGTTGCACAATTGTTCCGAACGAGAGGCAGAAGCAACACAACTGTGTCGTCAAAAGGTCGAATATAATAGTATTTGGGATAAACTAACATTTAAATACATTGATATTCACATAAAATAAATTAACCAACAGTCTAACAATGAATGAAATAAGGGCAAATCGACAAACAAAATTTCAATTAATCATAAGCATGAAGAGACATATCCTTCTAGTATAATTATAGCAAGGTTACACAAATTCTTTATTCACTTAATCACTCTAGAATGATAAAAAAATTTATATGCTGAAGATTATAAATGTAAATTGCCATTTTCCAATAATTTCCTACACCAATTAATGCCATATTCTTTTCCTAACAATCATTCATACCTTCTCATTCCACCAAATATTCTAATGAATGTACAATTCTTTTCTAAAATCTAAAACTTCTATAACAAATTTATCAAAGCTAAAGTTAGAATATCTATAACAAATTTAGAAAAATGAAGAAGATTTTTAGAATAATTTATAATTAGTAGAGCAATGACTGAACAGGACATAATATTAATAAAAAAGACTGGGTATTTCATATACGGATGTTTAGTGGGCGTGATATTAATAAGTAATGATCAATTATTAGAAGATATGTTATTTGATCTATTATTTTAAATAATGATATAAATGAGATTCTATTTTTAGAGAAAATGGTTGGTAGTTTAAAAAGTTTTAAGCGATTTGCAAGTATTGCATGATGAAAGGATAACATGGAGATTATAACATCAAAGATTGTGACATTATAATTTGGCCTGCTAAAATGTATAAATTGTGTATTGGGATGTTAAGAAATCATTGATAGTTGCGTAGCGCCTGTGAAAGTGACAATTTTATCGTTATTTTGCAAAAAAAAAAAAAAAAGAGGCTAAACTGAGGATTATATTAGATTGATAATTTGAATAGCATTATTGAAGATGAGCTATTTTGAAAATTAGACAAATGGTTTGTACATATCCAATGAAGGATAGAAAATTACTCATCTAAAGGGTATATTCAATCTGTGTTGAAATATTAGGAAGAAAAAGATGATAGATACCAGATAACACAATATAAAAAGTTGTTCAAAAAGATTTACATGGAATAAGTTTAACATCTCATTCAACACTTAACAAGAATGATTACGCAACGAGGATTCATAAGTTGCTCACAAATAGTTGGAATAAGGCTAAAGATGATGATAATGATTTTCTTTTCACTAATTACTGATAAACTTTCATGAAATGTTTTCTTTGTATATTTACTAGGTTGGGCCAGAGTATGCTAGATATTGTGGGATAGAAGCATTGGAACCACTGGGCATCTATCTCCCAGGGAACAAAAACTATCCTGGAGGTTTACTCTTCGATCCACTCGGCCTTTCGAACGATCCATCGGCTTTTGAAGAGCTTAAGGTGAAGGAGATTAAAAATGGCCGCTTGGCAATGGTTGCTTGGTTAGGTTTCTTTCTTCAAGCAGCTCTGACCGGAAAAGGCCCTCTCCAGAATTTACTTGATTTCATATCAGACCCTCTTCACAACAATGCTATATCTCTCTTAAAGCGATTTTAAGCTCAACAATTCTCAAGGATTGTTATGCAGACTTTCTATATTTGGAAAGCAGTCTTAAATCAGTTGTATATCTCTATTGTATGTAAAATATGTGATTATTAAATCACTTTTAGACTATATATATATATATACACACACACTTTTTTGATAGTTATGATGATTTTTTTCTTTCTTAACGAAGTCTTAATCATTTATTGGGAAACAAATCATAAAGTGATTAAGAGAAGGTTTTTACCAAGTAGTCATGAAATATAATAATTTCAATGTCTTGTAATATAATAAATGGCTAGCTAATTGTGTGATTTGTGGTTTGTTTGACAATGCTTTATGTTTGAGAAAAGTCAGCTTAAAAGCAACTCCCAATATGTTCATTTTTCCGGAACAATGGAATGCTAGGTGGTAGGGCCGAAGCCGCGAAGATCTCACGTTTTAAATTGGCGGAGAAATATTTGTGCGGTTGACACAACTCGGAAAGACGGGGTGAACCAAATAAGTGTGAATGATTCGAGCGCATTTTCTGTCCGAATTCCTGACGTAGTTCTGCGTGCGGCGAAGATTATTCATGAGTTATTTTCAGGTTATTTCCTGAAAGTAACTCAAAAATAAAGACCGTGGGTTATTTTTGGGTTATTTCGGGATTCTTAAAAATAACTCAAAAATAATCTGAAAATAACTCAGGAATAATCTCCGCCACACGTAGAGCTACGCCAGGAGTCCGCACAGAAAAATTAGACGAATGATTCTATGGCTGCCCCTAGCCTCTTCTCATCTACTTTTAAAATTTTTTATTTTAAAAAAAAAATTTCTTTTTTATCATTTTTGTGACATCATTGAAGATTATTTGAAATCTTATTCTCCTCTACTTGCACAAAGGACAAGATTTCAAACTTATTTATTTATTTTAATTAACTATAATAATAATAATAATAATAATAATTAATTTATGTTTAATTCTGGTAACATGTTCTAATGAACACCAATCCTATATTTAATTATAATTTAAAATTAAGCATGCAGTTTGATTTTTTCCACAACATGTATAGCTTGATAAATGGCAGCTCTTGCAGGATTTTCTTATTTCCTTTTCCTGCAATACTGCAAGTTTAACTCTGAAAACATCACACATGGCGCCGAAAGCATGGGAAAGGAGACGTATACTCCACACTTTTAGAAGCATTGCTGAAGTTCTTGAGCACAATGAATGTTTATAGGTTGCTTTAGGTTGTGTGGCACGCAATTGAGTGGGCAAAAAAAAAAGTCTTTTTTTTCAAAGAAGAGATTTTTATTTATGACAAAAAAAATGCATTAAAATGTTTAAACTTCCACTAATATTTTAGAAAAAGATATGAAGAAACTCATAATTAAATGTTTTTTTGTAAATATATGATCATTTTATTTAGTTTAATACTATCCTAATTTTTTACTTAACAACTTTAATTGATTTAATTAAAACAAGCTCCTCAAAACTAAATTCATTATTAGTTAAACTTAGTAATAGGAGAAAGCACCATGGATTTATGATTTATCTATACTAATTTCCTATAATTCTTTATATTAAAATCACTAGTTTGCCAATCAAGGGCAATTATATTTTAACTAAATATAATTTTTAAGTAGCATGCCAATCAAGGAGAATTATATTAAAAGCATTAGTTTGCCAATCAAGGGAAATTATCTTTTTCACATAGATCACAATTAAATTTTTTGATAAGTTTATTACTAATTTAATAATACCCTAATTTTAGTCAACAACTTTAATTGATTTATTAAAAGAAGGTGGTAAAAAATAAGTACTATAATAGTTGAACTTAATGATAGGGGAAAGCACCATGGATTTATGATTTACCTATACTAATTTCCTATAATTTCTTATATTAAAATCACTAGTTTTTCCAATCAAGAACAAATATATTTTCAAATCTCTATCAACAATTAGAAAAGCTAATCAAGTTTTATAATTTTATCGACAATTAGAAAAACTAATCAAGTTTTATAATTCAATATATGTTTATATAAACTAGTAAAATGATTGTGTAAATAAATTTTTTTATGGATTGCAAATTCCTTGGTAAACACTGTTGTCGAGTCTCAAACCTCGGATGCGAAAAATGGAAGGTTGTGTTAGATAATCGACAACCAGTGTAAATTTTGTTTAAAAATCATGACATAAATTTCTTAGATCCTTGTGTAAATGCTGCGGCGTCCCATGGAAGTGATGTGTTGTATGGCAAAAATACAGTTAAACATGTGCAGGGGCTGCTACACCTGTGCCCGTGTGAAGTGTCAAATAAGGAGTAGATCTATTAACCATGTTTGATCTACTCATTCGGAATGTCATAGGCATTTCGAAGAGGAACGCCTATAACAAGTTACTAAATTTGTGTAAAACTCACAATCTAAAATGTTTCACCCAAGTACTTGGATTTGTGAGATCGCCACCTTCGGTTTTGGCGTGGAAACGTGTAGGACTTCCCCATCTGATTTTTCATATGGGAAACTCTCCACCGTTCGTAGGGCGGACTAGCTACAAAGCTTTTCGCGCTCTACGAACACCCACTATGTTTTAGAATGGACTAGTCATAAAGCTTTTTCCATCCACTAAGATCGATCTCAACCAACTTCTCAAAGGAAAGTTGGGAGCGCCAAAGCCGTAGGAAAATGGGATTTTGACCCTACGGGATTAAGACCTAAGGCTCACAATAGGGAAATCACTTGGCTCCGAATAAGAATGGCTAACACAAGTGATTCCTAACAAAGGGCTTCCTTTAAGAAAAAATTAACGATCCATCACATAGGCGGCTCGGCCGGTTGACATGTCAGCCGACACATCCACCTCGCGTGGGTGATTGAACCCACACGGCTAGACCAGACTAACCTTAGGGGCAACTAATGGATTTAGGGATTCACACCACCGTGATGGTTGCAAACGTGTTTCTTCAAGTATGATGAAGCTCTCATAACAGTATAAGAGAAGCCCATATTCTGGCAAACTCCAGTGGCGCTCTGGTGATGCATTGACAAACTTCCGACGAACCTTCCTCATGTAAAGATGAAGCACTCCTCCACCATAGGAGAGTGGAGCCAAGAGTTGTAATTAACTATGAGGGACCCCCCTCATAGAGAAAACCAGACCCCATAATAAAAAAAACTCTAACCCTTAGTAAGATAGGGGAAAACCCTAGTTCCGTAGACCAACGAGTCAAAGAGATCTTCCTTATCGGGGCAATTAGTCTCATTCAAAGGTAACATTTTTGACCTTCGGGATAGTATATTATCCTTCAAATATCATGCCTAACCGCTTAGATAGAAGTCTTCCCAAACTCTACATGGCACACACAACAAAAAAAATCTCCCACAACTACTTCTGTAAAAAAAGTCAAATACCCATGAGGAGTTCCTTCTTGGAGGTCCTAGACGACTAGCAAGTACCCGGAGAGAGTTGTCAAGCTCCTCTTGTGGAATTATTTGATGGGACGAGTTAATAACTTGTGCAAAAATTCATCGTCACTCAACACTTCCACTTCACGTTTTTCTCATCCCTTTCACCATTTTAGTGGCAAGATTGCTTAAAAACCAACATAAAAATTAACATTGCGGTTCTCCGTTTTTTAAGTTCTCTTCACATTCACGTTTTCCTTTTTCCTTAACATTTTTAGTTAGCAAAAACTATAAAACTAATCGTAACTACCCCTCTTTTTTAAGTTCCTTCCACGTCTCTCTCACTCCCTCTCTCTCTCCCAAACATGGCTAATTTTGGAATCATAATCAGTATCTTCTTCATATCACTTACATTTGCACAAATAAAAATTGGTTTTTCTTGTCAGGTGAGTATGAATTTTCATTGTTTGTTTTGATTCTTCTTTTACTTTTCTTCAGGTGAGATTTGTCCAACTTTTGTCAGGTCTATGTGGTATATATGGGAGACAAAATGAACTACACTTCTGACGAGTTCTTAACAAAAAACTATGAAATTCTCACCGAAATCCACGAAGGAAGGTAATTTCATATCTATATTATTGCCCAGATTGCTTCTTTCACAAATTTCTTAAGATTTTTCTGCTGGGAATTTGCATTTTAATCCAACAGCTTCGACAAAGCGCAGTCTTCTCATGTTTACAGTTATAACAATGGTTTTAGTGGATTCGCTGCAAAGTTAACTGAAGAACAGGCATTGAAAATGAGTGGTATTGAATAATTTCTCACATTTTTTACAGAAACTATATTGTTCAATTTCGGCCAGTTTTAATCAATTAGAAGTTCATTCTGCTTCATTTAGAGATGCCTGGAGTTGTTTCAGTGTTCCCAAACCGGAAAAGAATTCTGCACACCACTCATTCGTGGGACTTCATGGGACTGGAAATGGATTCTGCTAAAGAGATTTCAGGCTTCTCTACTAAAAACCAGGAAAATGTGATAATTGGTTTCATAGATACAGGTAGGCTCATCATTAGAAGAATATTAATAAAATTGATATCATTTGGTGGAGATATATCTATGCATGATTAGGCAGAATTTGTAGAATAATTTCTGAAATACTTGATGAATTATGAAAGGTGCATTTGGGGTGGTGGTGAGGTGTCGCACTACACTTTTTTTCTAGTTTTACCTTTTTTTTTTCAAAATAATCCAAGTAAAAGCTGTGTTTTGCTATCGGATCTGGCTAAATAAGAGGACTGCTAGAAAGTTGGGCTCTGACTTTGCCAAAAAAAATGAAACTTTTAGTAATAACCAGAGCAGCTTTGTGAAAAACAGATTTTTCTGCAGTAACAGCTTCACAATCGCTTCTTCAAACATCTGCGCAAAACACACTAAGTATCAATTCTTTTTGAGTTTTTGCTAATAACAAAATATATTTCATCACCCTCTTTAGTTTTAACCATGTATAGATCTATTGCGTGTAATTTTTATTTACAAAACAACAGACTTGAACAAGCGGTTATTCTTAAAATTACAGGAATATGGCCAGAGTCTCCAAGTTTCAGTGACGAAGGGATGCCACCAGTGCCTTCAAGATGGAGAGGGAAATGTCAAGCAGGGGAATCATTCTCAAATTCCTCATGTAACAGGTCAGTTAAAATACGGATGACTTGTAATTCATTTTGTTCAACCTTTTTTAGTTCCATTTTGTTCCAAATCTTTCATATTACACCAAAACTGTCACTATTTTAACTTTTAAAATGTGAAATATAACTTTTAAGTCAATATGTATATATACACACACAGACCACCCTATATACGCATGAAAAGTTATATTTCACTTTTTGAAATTTAGGGTGTTAAATATGATGTATGATGTATGATATATGATATAAGATATATGTAAGAATTGAAGTATGGGTGCTAAATATATAAATAGATAAGAGTTGAGCGGAATGCATGTAAATCTTTCTAAAATTAGTTTTCTGGCAGCAGCTTCTCGCCCCTTTCTTACAAAATGAAAAAGTCCAAGACTCATTTTATTCAGCTGTATTTGTTCATATAATTGGTTGGAATTATATATAAGAAGTTAAGATAAACAGTTGCAGCAAAACATATATAATATTTAAAAGCAAAGAGGAAAAAACCAACTAAACATGACCTAGTTAATCTCACTCTCCATTGAATTATCTGCATAAGAATTCTAATTATATGACAGAAAAGTGATAGGTGCAAGGTACTATATGGGTGGCTATGAGGCTGAGAAAAGAATGGCTGAAGAAGCACAAGTGCAACCAACTGAAACTAGGGAATTCAAATCTCCTAGAGATAGTTTAGGACATGGAAGCCACACAGCTTCGACGGCGGCTGGGCGGTTCGTCTATGATATGAACTACGATGGACTAGGCATAGGAACAGCAAGAGGTGGAGCACCAAATGCCAGGATTGCAATCTACAAGGCTTGCTGGGAGTCTGGATGCTATGATTCAGACTTATTAGCAGCATTTGATGACGCAATTGAGGACCGCGTCAACATAATTTCATTATCTCTTGGTCCTGAGTCGCCTCAGGGAGATTACTTCAACGATGCCATCTCCATTGGTTCATTTCATGCTATGAGAAGAGGAATAATAGTAGTTTCTTCTGTTGGAAATGCTGGCACTAGAGGTTCTGCAACCAATTTGGCTCCATGGATGTTCACAGTGGCTGCGAGCTCGACTGATAGAGAATTTGTATCTAATATCAGACTTGGGAATGGAGAGAACTTGATGGTAATATGCAACTGGCTTGGTTTAATTAATTTATTAGATGTTTTAGATTGCCTAGTTTGTACTAAAACTTTTCCGTATAATTTTTAGGGAGTCAGTCTCAATACTCACCAGATGAATTCTTCAGTTCTAACTGTTGATGCCTCGGAAGCAAATGATGGATACTTCACTCCATATCAATCAAGGTGAAAGATTCAGAAGTTTTCAATGAATATTGGTGTTCATTTTTTTTCTTATTAAGATATATAAGAATATTGCGTTTAGTTCCATCTAGAATAGATTAAAGAGATTAAAAACACCATTAGTTGTTTGCATTGACAGCTTGATATGAGAGGGCTTCCATTTCATAAAGGAGATTAGGAGTTGTTACCGGAATCCTATTTTATGAAACATTTTCAAAACTCTGTTTAAAATGTCAAATTTTCTCCAAACCATTCTACAGCAAAAACAGGTTAAAAGCTTAAATAAGTAATGCTTTATTTTTTTCTGAATAAAAAAAAAAGTGCAAATTTGAATTTTGATGTATCAAGCTTAACTAATGGTTTCTTTGAATCAATACTCCCACTCAAACTTATTACTTACAGTTACTGCTTGGAGAGCTCCTTGAATAGAACAAAGACCAGAGGAAAGGTTGTGGTTTGCCGGCATTCTAGCAGCTATTCTGAATCAAGACTGGAGAAGAGTTTGGTGGTGAAGAACGCTGGTGGTGTGGGAATGATTCTGATTGATGAAAGAGAAGATAATGTTGCCATTCCCTTCGTCGTTCCTGCAGCAAGTATTGGAATTGAAACTGGTGATAAAGTACTGTCTTATCTTAATCAAACAAGGTTGACTTCATCAAGCTTCAGCAATGAATTCAAATGAGAATCATTTTTCTATTCCATTTCTTATATAAACAATCTTAAAGCTGATCTGCTCTGAAATCATTTCAGGAGACCGACCACACTTATTTCTCCAACAAAGACAGTACTGAAATCACAATCGGCACCTCAAGTTGCCGCATTCTCTTCGAAAGGTCCCAACTCTCTTACACCAGAGATTTTAAAGGCAAGCGAATCATGAAATTATGTGCCTTCTTTTCTTAAAAGATTCAATTTATCTTATAATATTGAGTATTCTGTAGCCTGATATCATGGCTCCTGGACTCAATATCCTAGCAGCCTGGTCTCCTGCAGCCAAAAACATGATGTTTAATATCATTTCTGGAACTTCCATGTCATGTCCCCATGTAACCGGATTGGTTGCTTTGATCAAGTCTGTGTATCCGAATTGGTCTCCAGCTGCAATTAAGTCTGCAGTTATGACAACAGGTGAGTGCTATATTCATTTTTTATTAAATGATCTTTTTTATATAATGTGACTTGATGCCGTTTTGGAAGTTCAATTTAATTCAATTTAAGTTCAATTTAAGGCATATATATAATCTCAGGAACTTCAAAGAACTTACAAAATTAGGATTTATTTAGCTTTATTCACAAGTTTAGAAGAACGATGAGTCATAACTCTGCAACATACAGTGCTACAAGTTTAAGCTCATAGGTTGAGGGTCAAAAATAACCGGATTTTCAAAATAGTCTCGCAATAAAAAATTAAACTTGGCTTGGCAAATGTAACTAAGCAGACTTGTTCATGTTGCATGAAAAAAATATATATCAACATCAACATCAATATCATCATCATTGCCCTAACCCAACAATTTATAGTCCGCTTTATGTATTTTTGTTCTATTTTGATTATTGTTTAATGAAATATGAGTCATTAAACCTATTATAGCATATACACCCATATTTGTTTGGGTAAGAGTTTAAAATAGATTTAACAAGTTGATGATCTTAACTCAATTTCTTGCCTAGATGTTGAGGAGATAGCTTGAGTGAGGGAAGTTATTTTCATCGAAGGTTACATGTCTAGATATGTATCACACTACAGGATTGAAAGACAGTACACCCTGACAACATAAGATATGATGAAAGAATTTGAACATATTTCGTATTCTCATAAGAAGATAATGTATGCAAGCAGTAATGAAACAATCAAACAAATATAAATTTTATTTCATTACATAAATAAGTTTAATAACTGATATAAGTGAAGGGACGACAAAAAAGTGACTGAAAATAAAACTAAACTAAAAATAGGAAGATAGCCATCCAAACTCAAAAATAAAAGATAAAAATACAAAAAAATACAAGTGAAGGGACAACAAAAAAGTGACTGAAAATAAAACTAAACTAACAATAGGAAGATAGCTATCCAAACTCAAAAATAAAAGATAAAAATACAAAAACTATTGTGAAACTAAAAACACCTAAAAATAAATCTAAAGTTGGAAAGTTTGTTCTGATGGAGACTGTCCTCCGAGTAATGAGTGCAACAAGCTATATAAAAATTCATAAGTTTTTAATATTTATTAAAGCATAAATAATATAAGAAATGAGACATGTTGTATGAACAATAAAATGAGTTTGACAAATCAAACTCAGTAAGTTTTTAATATTTATTAAATCATAAACAATATAAGAAATGAGACATGTTGTATGAACAATAAAGAAAGATGATTTATTTTATACAGAACAAAATTTGCAACAAGAGTATCAAATACTTATAACCATAAATAAGAGTGACTTAAATCATGCACTTCTAAATAGATATTTATAGTCAACAATATTATATATGTTTATACATATATAACTTAACAATATTTTAACACAACCTGATAATATATAACTGCAATGTATATATATATACCCACTTTCAACATAGCCAGACATTTTGTGGCCAGAATACTTGTGAAAAGAGATATTACTATATATACCCACTTTCAACCTAACCAGACATTTTGTGGCTAGAATACTTGTGAAAAGAGATATTACTTAATGTTACTGAAGTCTGGTTGGGCACAACTCATAATGGATATTGGCAACAAATCATCATGGAACATAAACCTCCTTATTGTTCTCATTGTAAGATATTTGGGCACACCCTTGATAAATGTCATAAGCTTCATTCTAATTTGAAATCTAGAGATCATGTGAATAAGGATGGGTTTAATCTCATTGTCCTGGACACTACCATAGGACAAGATTTGATGTCTGATTTAATTGCCCCTGTGACCCCCCTAACAATATTGTTTCTGCGATTGATATGTGTTGTTTTTGTGATTGATGTAATGTTGGATGGCTCTGTTGGGCAACCTATATGTTGTTTCTGCGATTGATGTAATGTTGGATGGCTCTGTTGGGAAACCTATACTTTCAAACCCTATTGAAAACAGTACTGAAGGATCCTTACTTACAAAGGATAGTGTTCGGATTGATAATCAGGAGAATATTGCAGCTCCCCATCTTCAGTAAGTAGAACCTATTGTGGGTACAATTGTTGGCAATCCTTCTACTACAGCTCTACCTCCTACTCCGAATAAGCAACAATCTTCGGATGAGGAATGATAGGTTTACACTTCCATGAGGAAGAAAAAGAATGGAGATCTACTTGAGCTAAGGAATCTAATGGATGATACTTTGGTTACTTCGGGTAATGGTACACACCTCACCAATTTGTTAGCAGATTCCATTCCGAGAATTAGACACAGGCAGAACTAAATTGGGTTGTCCCGATTGATCTTATATATATCATTTCTTTTCCGAATTTTGTGTGTGTGTGTTGTACCGTGTGGGTTGGGTGTCTATTTGGGCCCACTCAAACAACCTATTTGTACACATTTCTCTTTAATATAATTGCCCAAGGGCAACTATATTAAGTAGAAAGAGTACAGATAGGTTGTATGAGTGGGCCCAAATAGACACCCAATCTATAGGACCCAAATAGGCACCCAACCTATATAGTACAACACATAAAAAAAAGAAGAAAATTAAAAACCCAAAAGTAGATGGTACATAAAAGATCAACCAGGTCGACCCATTTTAGTTTTGTCTCTGCTTCTAGTTCTCGAAAAGGAACCAACTAACAGATTGGTGAGTTGTGTACCACTGCCCGAAGTAATCAGAGTATCTTCCATTAGATTCCTTAGCTCAAGTAGATCACCATTCTTCTTCTTCCTCCTGGAAGTGTAGACCTGTCATTCCTCATCCGAAGATTGTTGCTCATTCGGATGAGGTGGTAGTGCTACAGTAGAAAGATTGCCAACAGTTGTGCCACAAGTGTATGTGAGATATGAGTTGTCGTCTCTACTCCTGATACTTCCTGAAGATGGGAGCTGCAAGGTTCTCTTGATTATAAGTTCGTGTACGTAGGGGGTCCATTCTTATTTTCAGTAGGGTTTGAAAGTGTGGGTTGCTCAACAAGGCCATCCAGCTTGTCATCGATCGCAGAAACAGTATTTTCAAGGGGAGGGTCCACATAGGCAATAGAATCAGACACCAAATCCTGTCCTGTGGTGGGGTTTTCTTCAGGTGGGGGTGGCATCCTTATTCACTTGATTTTTAGATTTCAAATTAGGATGAATCTAATGACATTTATTAATGGTATGCCCAAATATCTTACAATGAAAACAATAAGGAGGTCTATGCTTCATGACGATTTGTTGCCAATATCCATTATGCGTTGTGCCCAACCAGACTTCAGTAACATCAGACAAAGTAATATCACTTTCCACAAGTATTTTGGCCACAGAAGGCCTAGTAAGGTTGAAAGTAGATAGATCTAGCTTCATAGAGTCCCCAAGTATGACACCAATAGAGTAAACAACCTAATGATGGAAAAATTGCAGCTTGAGACCAAGTAGACTAAACCATACCGGTACAGTAGGATGTTCATGATTGGGGTCAAAATAAGGAGACCACTTGAGTAGCTTCATTGACTTACCAGCGATGTTAAGATATTTTTTGGAGAAAATCTAAGTGTAGTCCTTGGGCACGATTAACTGAATTAATACATATCTCTCATCCATGAGCACCACTTTTCACTTTCCTGTCAATTTGAGGTCATCAAAACTTTTCCTAACAACTTCCATAGGTGGGTGTCCCCACTGAAATTTTCCAATAAGAACAAACTTGAATTTGTCAGTCAGCGTTGAAATTTCTGACGCAAAGAAAAAGAGCGTTCTTTTCTCATTTTTCCTGCTTGCATTCTTAATAAAAGAGAAGTCACCTATACCATCATGACATTTCTTATAACTTGAAGGGAAGACAACCGTCGTCTCCCCCTGAGGATTACCTAACACGTGGGCAAAGGAGGTTTTGTCAGATTCAACCGAAAAAGAAAGCTCCATCTCAGCAAAGAGAAGCCATGCAAGTTGAGCAAATGGCAAAAAAGACAAGTCGAAGAGGTCGGGGCAAGCTGCGCAGAAGAAAGGAATCACAGATGAAATGAAATGCGCAGAAGACGGACAAGAAACCTCAGTTTGACGAGGGAATCCGCGCAGAAAAGAACCGTAGAAGCTGGATGACGCGAAGGAGGAGACAATGAAACCGCAGAAGCAGATGTCGAAGCCCTTCTTCGTTGGGCACGAAAGAGAAGACGACGATCACAAAGGAGATTGAAGTCCTTCGTCGTCGTCGTCAAGTGCGGGAACTTCGTTTTCGGGCACCATAGGATGGATTGAAGGTTGAATGAATCAAATCAGGGTTCGGGCGAAACCCTAGCAGAGCAAATCGCCACCGACGTTATATTATATATATATATATATAGACACACACATATTTATACATATACATATCCACCAATATTTATATACAATTATGAATTTGCAACAATGGGATTTAATACATCAAGCTACAAGTAGAATAATTAATATTGAAAATACAAGAAAAATGTATTAAAACAAGAGTTTATCAGTAAAAGTGATTAATTACTCATGATATTAATTATAAACAAAAAGTAAAATCTACTGCAAATATATTAATAGAATTTGATGGGCATGACGGGCAAACCAACAATTAACTAGGAATCTAATACAAATAGAAAAGATAATGCCCCTAACAATGAAGAGTACATTTATCCCCAAATAAATAACAGTTACTTATCTCACCACTTGAGTAGCTTCATTGACTTACCAGCGATGTTAAGATATTTTTTGGAGAAAATTCTAAGTGTAGTCCTCGGACACGATTAACTGAATTAATACATATCTCTCATCCATGAGCACCACTTTTCACTTTCCTGTCAATTTGAAGTCATCAAAACTTTTCCTAACTTCCATAGCTGGGTGTCCCCACTGAAATTTCCCAATAAGAACAAATTTGAATTTGTCAGTCAGCGTTGAAATTTCTGACGCAGAGAAAAAAAAGACTTCTTTTCCATTTTTCCTGCTTGCATTCTTAATAAAAGAGAAGTCACTTATATCATCATGATATTTCTTATAACTTGAAGGGAAGACAACCGTCGTCTCCCCCTGAGGATTACCTAACACGTGGGCAAAGGAGGTTTTGTCAGGTTCAACCGAAAAAGAAAGCTCCATCTCAGCAAAGAAAAGCCATGCAAGTCGAGCAAATGGCCAAAAAGAGCAAATGGCAAAAAAGACAAGTCGAAGAGGTCGGGGCAAGCTGCGCAGAAGAAAGGAATCACAGATGAAATGCGCAGAAGACGGACAAGAAACCTCAGTTTGACGAGGGAATCCGCGCAGAAAAGAACCGTAGAAGCTGGATGACGCGAAGGAGGAGACAATGAAACCGCAGAAGCAGATGTCGAAGCCCTTCTTCGTTGGGCACGAAAGAGAAGACGACGATCACAAAGGAGATTGAAGTCCTTCGTCGTCGTCGTCAAGTGCGGGAACTTCGTTTTCGGGCACCATAGGATGGATTGAAGGTTGAATGAATCAAATCAGGGTTCGGGCGAAACCCTAGCAGAGCAAATCGCCACCGACGTTATATTATATATATATATATATAGACACACACATATTTATACATATACATATCCACCAATATTTATATACAATTATGAATTTGCAACAATGGGATTTAATACATCAAGCTACAAGTAGAATAATTAATATTGAAAATACAAGAAAAATGTATTAAAACAAGAGTTTATCAGTAAAAGTGATTAATTACTCATGATATTAATTATAAACAAAAAGTAAAATCTACTGCAAATATATTAATAGAATTTGATGGGCATGACGGGCAAACCAACAATTAACTAGGAATCTAATACAAATAGAAAAGATAATGCCCCTAACAATGAAGAGTACATTTATCCCCAAATAAATAACAGTTACTTATCTCATGGGCAATAAAAGTCTAAAAAGTTTTAGCAACTCAACCGGCTCAGCTAGTAGGTCCTACACAATTTAGACTTACAAATGTTAACAACTATACAAATATTGGCATTAAAATAATTATTTATTATTATTATTAGTCAAATTGCTATTATTATAATTTTGAAAGAAGATAGGGACCTAACTAATTTTAACTCCAAAAGAGTTAACACAAAAATCAAATACAAAAAATAAGATTTAACAAAAAGAAAGATATATATACATACATATATAGAGAGAGAGACACACACACACACATATATACTTGCGCCCTTGGGTGGCAAGCTGGTACACAGTTGTGCTGTCAGACGTAATTCCCCTTTGACCCAAGTTTGATTCTTACGAGGATGGATAACATATATGGAAAGCGGTATTTTCAAATACCACCCTTTCGATATATATATATATATATACATAATTGGAATCTTAATCACTCAAGCAAGAAGCAAAGGGGGTCGGAGATAGCAACCACGAGAACAAGAGGGTGAGGGTAAAAACGAGGCAGAGAAGAGGTAAAGAGAAGTGGCTTCCTCGAGGGCTTTTGGCAGCTGTCTTGTCATGCCCTAGCTTTGCCCTCCTTAAATAAAAAAGAAAACGATGTAAACAGCAAAAGAGAAGGCACTTTATCTGGCATTACAACAATAAGCATAGCAGGAAAGAAAGGGCAATGCGGCAACAAGCAGAGAAAAAAATAATAATGATATCACCCAACTTACACGATTAGGAGGGCTAACAGCGAAGGTGATTGCGGGAAGAAACAAGGAGGGGAAGATTTCGAAAATCCTGCAAATTTGGAAGAAAATAGGTGACACTCTCTGGAAGGAAGAAAATGGAAGTTTCATATCTTACATACTTCCCCTTTAAAATAATTTCGTCTCCAAAGTCATACCCAATATCACATCAGACTCAATTAGAGACAATATTATAAGTGAAGCACACATGTATTTTGTTAATAATAATGTTAAAATCATGAACACACTAAGAGCGAAACATGAGTCAGATGACATAATAATTGATAAATGCAATGTAATGAGTAGATCGATATATTAAATGTAAATTTGTCTGATATGAATGAATGTGATGCCCCAAAGTTAAATAATATTATTATCAATTGCTTAAATAAATATAAATAATGTATATCACCACTTCAAGATCTTCATGAGCTTCTCACAGCATCATAACAAATGCTCGAGATGGAATCGTCTGCTTAAGCTGCTCCAAAGCCTGAGGTCACTGAGATTGGTAATGTACCATTGATGGGTGTTGCTGCTTCGATGGCGGATGCTAGTACTATAATCCAGGAGGATGTTGATATCGCTGAGACACCATCACTAGATGCAGTAGCTACTGTGGCTGAAAGTAGTATTGACCTGCTTGTCATCTGTCATTTTACTTCCAGTGTCCACCTTTATTAAATTTATGCCACCTATTCGAATGTTGGTTGAAATTATTCTCTTGGTTTGTTGTAGGCGAAGTTTGGGTCTTAAAGGGCAATCATTAATCTTGTGATTGGTGTTGTAGCAATTGAAGAACTTGTCAATAGTTAGTTTGCAAATCCAGGTGGTCTCTTTCACGTAGTAGGGGCAGCTAAAATCGCTCTTTAAAACAAAAAATAAAAACATATAAAAATTATACTAACCAAATATATTTTAAAAAACAAAAGTGAAATGAAAATAAAAATATAAAACAAAAATGATGACAAATGGACTCCAAAATTCCAAATTTCATTGTCTACTCCACATGTTGGAAAACACTGCCCATTTATATGGTTAGATAGATCACTATACCAACAACAACAAAAAAAAAATCTCTTGAAAAAAAGGTGGATTAATTCCTTCGCCGGTTTTGATATCCCATAATTTAAATCTAAGCCTTCCCAAAATTAAAACTATCACAAGCCATTGTTTTGCAAACAATCCATGCCGCTGGACTTCTCACCAAGATGAAAAAATCTACGTCCCCTATCATCAACTTTTTTATTGATGTTTAAATCAAGTCTTACACCTACCCAGATCTTTCTATTGAACTTACCATGGGATTTCTAATCCTTCAAGGCTGTCTATTTTTGCCCAATTCGACCTACTGAATTGTCCCAAGGATCAAAATTTCTGGTCACTTCTTGGAATGAGTAGGAAACAATTCAATATATGGAATAAAGGGCCAAAAAACGCCATTAGTTTTAGAAATTGGTCATATTTATGTATACTCATGAAAAATTTTTAACAAACATAAATCTTGGATATGCAGGAGAATTTTAAGGCTTTATAGACCTTCCAATTGCAAATCTTAGGTGTTTTATCAGCCAAGACTACTCTTATTTTCCTAGTCATCCTATCATCTATTTCATAAAGAGGACCATACCAACTACCATCTTACACTTAATGAACTAGGATCGTCGTTGACCTTTGTTAACTGACGCAAATGCTCAAAACTTAACATCATTTGAATCCTCCCAACTAATGCTAACATTTGATGTTTGCATCGCCTATGATACAATGCATGTTATGGAGCAACAACAGCAGTTGGCATCTATTGCAGCCAACCTTAGACGCCTGTAGCTACTTGGGTCATCCTATCATCTATTTCATAAAGAGGACCACACCAACTACCATCTTACACTTAATGAACCAGGATCATCTTTGACCTTTGTTAACTGACGCAAATGCTCAAAATTTAACATCATCTGAATCGTCCCAACTAATGCTAACATTTGATGTTTGCATCGCCTATGATACAATGCATGTTATGGAGCAACAACAGCAGTTGGCATCTATTGCAGCCAACCTTAGACGCCTGTAGCTACTTGGTACCAACTCATGTTTGTCTTTGTCCATTGATGCCAGTCTCCCGCAATCATTCTTGGATGGTGCCTATGACCACCGTCATTAGAGATACTCAAAAGGTCTCCACTTTTACATGAGAATCCATTTCTAATTAGAAAGAGAACACATCATTCAAATGAAAGACTCATACCAATAGAATAGTTTTCAACTATGCTAGGCCTTATGGTTTCTTTTATTTGTTTTTGAAACATGATAATTATATGCCTTAAGTGTGAGCTCCCCTTTTCTTTGTTGATACGAGATATTTATATGAGTTGAAATATAATCACTCTCACCATGATTTTTCTGGCATGCAACAGTTCTATTTTTTTTGGATGATAAGTCATAAAATTAATAGCAACATTTAATGAGCCTGTCAACTGTTATATCAAAAAGGTTTAATAAATATTCTCTTTTATGTAGATTCACATATAATATTTATAACATATATACACGCTCATTTAGAGTATAATACACATTAAACATATTATAATCCCATAATTATAACGAATATTCATTTTTGTATCTTATTTTGAAATGTCAAAAAATGATTTTGAATGGTATGTATTGTTTGTTTTAATTTCAATTAAATAATACACATTTAACTATTATGACTATACCAACATATAAATGTCAATTTGACAGCAATTCCTAATTTTATTTTAGCATTCTCATCTTACCCACATGAGACTAACCAAGAGGACCATAATGCAGCAACCATACTGAACAAGAATCGCAAAGCCATTACTGCAGACCCGAATGGAAAAAAGGCAAACCCCTTCGACTATGGTGCTGGCTTCCCAGAACCAACAAGAATGCTAAATCCAGGCCTCATATATGATACTCAACCTTCAGATTACAAGAACTTCCTATGCTCCATTGGCTATGATACCGAATCACTACAGCAAATAACTGGAGACAGCAGTCTGTGCTTGAAGCCTGCTCCTCCTGCTTCAAATCTGAATTACCCCTCGATCACAGTGTCAAACCTCAAAGATAACATGTCAATCATCAGAACTGTAACAAATGTGGGAAAATCAAACAGTGTTTATCGAGCAGCGGTTTATCCTCCTAAAGGAATTAATGTAGAAGTGATCCCAAAGTTTCTTGTTTTTACAAGCTATGGGCAGAAGATGAGCTTTAAAGTAAACTTCAGAGTGGATAAACCTTCGAAGGATTATGTTTTTGGTTCTTTAGCATGGCAATCAAAAGATGTTAGGGTCACCAGTCCACTGGTAGTTGGAATTGCTTCTTCCAGTGTAGGCATGATTTGAAAATAAATAGTTCGGTAAACAGGAAAGGTCAGATATCGGTTTAGAAGCAACAGGAGATTGGAATACATAATGATTTGTTTGAAATTGGTGAGGAATTTGTAATATTTAATTGTTGTAAAATTTAATAATTTCTTTTATTTTGACAGCATGAAAATTGTACGCTGCTGTCAAATCCTTTTCTTTTAATAGATTGTGGATATTTAGGGTCTGTTTGAGGCAGCTTATTTGGTGCGACGGTGTTTTGAAAACGCGTCTGACTTGTTTGTGTAAACTGCGTTTTGGCAGCTTATGCATTTTCAAAATACTAAAAAACAACGTTTTCACACCGCATCAGTCTAGGTACAATGACAGCTTTCTAGCAACGGTCTGACTTTTCCAAAAAAATAAAAATTTATAATAGTCACCGCACCTAACTTATCAGCAAATTATTTTTAATCAGCTTATCATCAAATTATTCAATAAGCTGCAGCTACGCCAGACAAACCCTTAATTTACAGCATGAAAATTGTAAGCCATTGTCAAATCCTTTTCTTTTAATAAATTGAGGATTGTTGTCCGGTTTTTATTTTATAACATAGGCCAATTTTTCACACGGTAAGAATTCTTAGGAAATTTTAAATAGATGCCGCAGAAATTTTAAGCATTTACATATGTAACACCTAAAGTTTAATGTTTATATTTCTAACACGAAGTGTTACATATTGACGAGAGTTTCAGTGATGTTTGTTTTACTTGCATAAATTCACTTTTTACTTGCATAGATTCACTTCTTGAGAATTGTGTGGTATTGTTTATTTGGATAGCACTGATTTTCACTTTTTTTTTTCCTATCATTTTATGAAATATATATCATTTATTGTTATTTTTATTGATTTTCAGGGAACAGTTAGATCGCAATTCCATTGTGCAGACGTATCGTTTGGTTCGCGCGTTTCGTCAGTTTATCCGAAACTGCGTTTGGGTTTTTACACTAAACGCAAGCTGCGGGTCGACCCTTGCGCCTTGCCCCGCGGGCCGCGTTTTAGGATAAGCAACTTATCCTGAAACGCACAAGTTGCCCCAAACGGACCCTAACTAGGTATCGTCAGATGCAGCACTTATTAGCAGCCAGGTTGGAAAATTAGATTTATTGGATTGCTTCTTTTCTTAGTGTATCATCTCTTGCAATCCCATTCGGCACCTACGGGATAGTTCATCGAATATATTTCGAGTATGTCACTTCAAATTAAGTTCTTGGCTTCTTCCAACCCCCTAGATAAAAGGAGATTTGATTTGAAAAATAATTTTGAAGTAAACTTTGAATGAGTACATAAAAATCACACGTAGAAAATGGCAGTTCTAACATATAATGTGAGGTTTAAACATTATTCTAACCTACACCAAACCTGCATTGATCTATAAATTTGAGCTCAAACAAGGTTTGAAGTTCATTTTGTTGAAGCGTAGATCAAACCTCTATTTCAAGGCTATGGTTTGCACAATAGCTTCAAAATAAATGTTTGAAACAATGGCTTACAATTTTCCATTGTAAAAACGTTTGAATTGGAATAGCTTCAAAATAAATTCATTCTGTAAAAATTCATGTTTCACAATAGCACAACAAGTCAGACGCGTAAATTTATTGTAAAAACGAATCTAAAAATTCATTCATGTAAAAACGTTTGAATTGCACAGAATGAATTTAAATTTAGTTTCTATTTCAAGACTATGGTTTGCACAATAGCTTCAAAATAAACGTTTGAAACAAGGTTCAAATAACGTTTGAATTGCACAGAATGAATTTAAATTTAGTTTAGATTTCTTTCATGAATTGGGGATTGATCATTCAATTCAAAAAATAAAAAAATAAAAAAAAACAACAACAACAAACCTTTATCCGACTAAGTGGGGTCGGCAACATGAATCTTTTTTTTTCCATTGCGTCCCATTGAGTGTCATATTTTCATTTAATTCTAATAAATTAAGTTCATTTTTTTATACAATATGCCCAAGTTTTTCTAAGTCTACCTTTGTCATTCTTAACATAAGTCGAATCTAAAACATCTACTCTCTTAATCGGATCATCAAATGGTCGACGTCTGATGTGACTAAACCATCTAAGACCGCTCTCTCTAGTTTTGTCCGCCACTGGAGCTACACCAACCCTACCACGAATATATTATTTAACATTTTCTCTAAGTGTAAAGCCACTCATCCACCCAAGCATTCTCATCTCGACAACACTTAACTTAGTTTTATGCTTCTCTTTTAAAGGCCAACCTTCAACGCCATAGAGCATTGCAGCTCTCACCACCATATAAAATTTTCCTTTCAGTTTATGCCACACAATAGGCCTGAAGCATTTCTCCACTTCAACCAAACTACTTGAATTCTACTAATAAGATTCTCATCTATATCACCATCACATTGAACAATAGACCCGAGATACATAAAGCGTTCACCATAAAGCGTTCACAAGCGTTCACACCTTTTAATAATTTGATCCCCCATTTGTCTGCACTGCAGCCTAACAAATCAAGTGTTCGATTGCTTTTTTGAGAAATGATAATTATAAGATATGCAAATCCCACAGGTGTTTAGATCCATAAGTTTCAATTATTTGAACATATACTAAATGAAAAATATGTTACCAACCTACGCTCATATCCACCAATCATTTGGATAGTTGAACTTTATCAATTAAACTTCACCTTCATCGTACAAGGAAATTCATATATATGAGATTAAATTGAGTATTTGTGTATACAGACAATGAAAAAAAAAATTGCAAATTAGGAAATCTCTCTTCCAAGCATCCAAAATATTAGTAGAACATGAAACGATCAGAAGAAAAAAATGAAAATACCGTTAACTTGTCTTGTCAGTATAGTAACTTTTGCTAAGTCATACACGCTCAGTTACATGTTACGAGAGCTGCGTCAAAATGAAGTATCTTATACTATGACAAGTGCCTACGGATACAAAGTAGAAGACCACGAAAATTTTCACAACATGCCCCAGCTTGGAGAGATTATACTTTAACAGTTCTAGTGAGAACTAAAACCATCAAAGATCCAGGAGATGAACAAGAACGAGCAAAACATGTAGACTGATAACAACTAATGGGCTTCTTGGGCCTGCACCACTTGAACTGACTAGATAATTGAATGTGTAGCAAGGAAGTAGCACTATGTTTGCTACGATAAGGATTGAAAAAAAATGATGAGACTAAACCTCCGAGCAAGAATAACATCAATAGCATAATACTCACAACAACAAGCCTTTATCCCACTAAGTGGGGTCGGCTGCATCAATCCTTTTTCTGCACTCCGTCCTCCTATGGTATCATATGTCGTTTCTTTTTGTGACTTGAGGTTCATTTAGAATGTGTGGATTTCTTTTTGCGACTTGTGGCTTTGCTCTATTGTGAAATCGATATTCTACTATTATGAGGATGGGATTTCGGATTTTGGTATTCTCAACCACCTTTTTTTGTTGTTTGTGCTCTTTGCTCTACTCAATTTTTGGTTCAATGTGTTTTATGATTTTCTTTTTCGGTTTGTGGCCCGTCGAATGGATGGACTTGACATTTGTGGGCTTCGGAATGAATGGACTATGATTTTTTGGTCTCTGGAATGAATAGACATAGCATATGCTTATCTCTATTGATTTTGGAGGTTGGAAAGCACTTTCAAGTTTGTGGCCTTTGTGTATGCTCCATTTCTCAATTTGTTTAGTTTGGGTGGGTTGCCCTCTTTCTCGGATAGAAAATACATTATGTAATATTAAAACTGAATATCCGTTTTCATGTTTGAGATGTGCAATAAGGATTGATTTTGTTATAAATAATGCAATAGTACGGGGTCAAAAATGTCTTTTTATCATAAACAACTGCAACACACATACACAAAACAAACAGATATACAACTTTCTCGCAGCAGCTTCCGTGTTGTATCTTCTTAACACAACCGCTGCACATCAATTTTTTAACAAGTTGCAGCTTCCCCAATAAACCCTAAGATGAAAATTTAACCTTTTCGAAGTTAGAAGTTAATCTTTAAAGTAGCATTGATGTCATATACAATTGGGAGTTATATGGGAATAATGGTGCATTTCAATATTTTCTTAACACTCAAAACTTAATTCACAATATATATATATATATATATAGTCATCTTTATATATAGTCATCAAAGATTATGCTACAATTATTTATTTAAAATTATTTACTAAATTATCACATTTTTACTAAATAGAAGTTGTCTACCTCATTTGTTGAGTAAGCAAGATTTTAACTTGCCTTCTTTAGCTTTAAAGTGACAAACATGACAATTTAGTGCGCAAGTGTTGGTGTCTGGACAAATCCAAGTTAGCTTGTAACTCATAAATAACATTAGGACATTCATATCCTCATGTGACTAGTATATTACATATTGACAATATAATATGGTTAATTGAGATTCCCTTGTTCACACCCCTTTTTTTTTCTAGCCAAAACGGCCTTCTTGAACATTTGTCTCTTTTTAGGTCGCACTCGCTTATAAAAGCAAAGAAAGAAAGATAAGATCGAAAGCGAACAACAACTAGGAAGAAAACAAAAAGAGTAGAAACGAAAAATTTATATAAGAAAATCCTCATGATATAAACATAAAAAAAGTAGTCTTATAATTGTGAATTCAATGAATGCCACTAAAAACATATCCAACTACTCCTATTAAAGCATCTTCAATCATAGTTAGAAAAACAACTTAAATATTAACTAGAATAAAAATGAAAATTTAAGAAATCATCAATGTGATAACAACTGATAAAAATTGTTAGGAAATTATAATAATCAAAGAAATAAATTTGTCAACCGAGACTCACTAAACCACCTTATTTCACTTCCAATTCATAATATAAAGAAAAACATTACATTATGATGAAACAAGCATTATGATATACCTCTAAAAATAGATAATAACATATTGATGATTTTATTATATTTAGTTAAATTGAAAACTAAATTTTCTATGAAGATTATTAAATTTCTATATTAATGAAATACAATCATAGCTCATTATTTTCTTGTGTGATAACCATGAAAAAGTATCTTTATAGTGCATATTCATAAATGTATGATCAATATTTTACATGAGGAGACATGCAATTTTAAAATATCAAATACAAAACACCCAAAGGGAAATACACATCTATATTCTTAATTTGAAGACCATAAATTATCCCTAGATTATTTTTTTTTATTCTA